TATTATACTATTTGGCTTCATTTATAAGAAAATAAATATGTACGTATATGTAAACAGTTAACCAATAGAAAGTAATTCGCTACGTCACATATGCATTTTATTTATATATCGGCTAACTACCTATATACATCTACTACCTTAACAAATGGGTTCGTTCACAGTGAAACCATGCTTAAAGTATATAAAATATATATACTCTAAGCATGGTTTTATTGTGAAAAAGCTCAAATAAAGTCTTCAAAAGCATAATTAGCATTAAAAAAAGTGCAATAGATTTGTAAAGTAGAATATATGAGGGAATGAAACAGAAGTAACCTGATATATACAGTAGAATAGATAAGGAGAAATAAAAAAAGTAAACCAGTATATAGAATTAGTGACACAGGCATAACCTGAATAGTGTGATTCGAGATGACCCAATTAAATGCATGCATGTGTATAGTGTATCTTCTTCCAAATCGAACCAAATCAGGAGTGAATCAAAAGCGTGCCAATAAGGTTTCAGAGAGGTGAAATAGAGAATAATCTGGTGAGAAATTAGTAGAAAAAACTGAAATAAAACTGTTAATAAAGTATTAAAGAATGCAATAATATAGAAATTTCTCTAGTATTTAAAGGTGACAAGTTGTAAGATATATTGGATGCCCTTTTAAATTAAATATATAAAATTTAATATCAGAAATTGAACAAACAAGTAAAATATGCTTTCCTTACTAACAATTCTACTCAAAGTTCTGCCTATAAATTCAACCAAATCATAAACTGTATTATCTTCTTCTCGAAGTTCATCAATAAGCACTTGGATAGGGGTTCGGCCTGCCAGATTTTGTTGATAAAGTTGTTCACGTATATTATAGATGTCTCTGCTAATAATTGGGATTGCTGGGTCATCTGGCGAATGGTCGACACAATTTCTCGAGGATGTGATCCAGCAACAGTCATTGCTGCAACACTTTCTAGCTGTTGCTCTGTGAGTTGGCGGGCAATTAGATGTCCTAACATGTTTTCTAAGTAATCATGTTTATGATTTTCATTACGAATTTCTAGATGCCATGAGTCATTCCGTCAAGAACCAAACATTCCATAAGGGCAATCAATTAGCCTGGTACTAGTTAGTTTTCAGTGTATTTCTTCTGTAAGATTTAATGTATTAACATAAACACCACTTCGGTCACAACGCAATTCCATATTTTTCAATTCATCATGATGATTTTTATGGGTTCATTTTTTAACAAGTGCAAAACCACATGCATTCGCAAAAGTTTGAGCATATTGATAAAGTTCATCAGCACTCTCGAATTCAGGAAACATGTTATAAAAAAAAA